GGTACTCTTCTTATTACACTCAATGCATGTACCTATATATGGGTTGGCCCACAATTTCTGGCCGAATTTCAACACTTTGATTTATTCAAGTTTTCATCTTCCCTAAAGAACAATTGATCAAAAACATAACCACCATCATAATCATGATATGCATCCATTTGCTAGGGAACGAATGGATGCATTCCTCCCAGAACGAGAGAAGCTGTGAGATGAAAAGCTCGAAGAGGTCGTTTTTGGGGTGGTTGTATTTACTGACTTTTTCTCTCCTAGCTGCTGCTGATTCAGGGGGCTGAGTAGGTGAACGTAAGGGCTATACGATAGATGTGGTGTCGTGGTCCAGCCAGTTTCCCTCGAAACGTGGCGAGTTATCTTTGCAATGTGATTTCGGGCGGTCCTCCGGATAAAGGAGATTTTGAGACTTTTCAAACCGTCCTCCCGCACTGCTGCGGCCAACTTTGGAAGCTATTCCATGGTTACCTTCGCAATGCTTGTCTGCATAAAGTGAAATGGTTCTCAAAACGGGATACCCAGCGAATCCAACAAAACGGGGGTCACACCTGATGAAACAGCTCGGGTTTTGGTTGTTTGGTTTTGGCTTCTTCTACCGAAGCAACTCAAACGGTCAATAATTTTGAACCTACTCGATTAAGCCGCTCTGCTCTGCAAAAACTGCTGTTGTAGGAAAGAAAAGTTAAAGATAACTTATATCAACACAGTTTGTTCAATGTAAACAACGCCATCCACAAGCCGGTGACTCTCATTTTAGTGTCGGACCTCTTGTGTAGCTGCTGGCTACTATCCAAACAGAACCATGTCAAAGGTGCGTGTGCTACTATGGGTTTCTCCTTTTGGCTTCCTGTGGGTTCTTTAGTACGCAATCGAGAGGGGATACTAGGCTTGGGGTTTACTTAATCGCAAGCAAGTCAGAATTTCTAGGTGCAACTAGATAGGATTTGCAGCCTAGGTGCTCGAATACAGTTCACGCACTTCTCAATAATCTGCGAATTCAGATTGTTAAGAAGAAAACTACAATTACGAAAAGGAAGAAGCGATTTTTAGCTGAAACCATGGAGGAGTCACAGAATGATGATAAAGACTCTAAAGACAAGGTACTTCTTGCCTCATAATAGCAACGAATGATCACCTTCTGTTTACCATGGTTGGACCACTGTTTAGCCTAATCTGTACGTGGGAGTAGTGCTTTTCTAGTGGCGATAGTATATGGTGGTATGTTGTAGGGAAGGTGACACGTTGTCAGTGATAGTCTGTGGTGATGATGCAGAGCTAATTTAAGAACGATACGCAGCGAAATGCTAGGTCGACTGTCGAGAACTTATGGCGAATGCGCGATTCTTAGCGTCCGGCGGTCACGTGCGTTACAGCCAATTGAGTGATTATCACTGGCCGCGACGCGACTGCAGCGCTACGATCACAAAGTCTGCAATCGCCACTAAGGTGGACTAGAATACCAAATGCGGTAACTCTTTGCAGGCTGTGGTCAAGCGATCTGCGATCTATCGAGCGGATTGGCGACGAATCGCGCGACTAGAATCGCGTAGAGAGTGATGAGGATGGAATAAGCGGTGTATCCAATCAGCAATAAAGACATGTCAAAGCCATGCTTTATGTTGGACGATATCTGTGATTGTGACAAATCCCCAACTGTTATTCAAGAGGAAAATTCACGATTAGACAGGAAAAATCGAAGAAGGAGTAATCCACTTAGTTGAACTCAGAATCGGTTTTAGGATCGATGATGCCGTGCTAACCGGGTAATTCGCTCCGCACTGGCACTCGGAGCGCACAACTAACACTACGAGGGATTAATCACGATGTGCACCTCGACGATTTCCAAAAGTTCCCAACGTGGTGGTATATGCGATCATCCAAAACCCACCTACATCACTCGAGGCCTCTTGGGCAACGCACCTCCAGGTACACGCGAGCGATGGACTGAGCGAGGGCGAGGGAGGCAAACCTCCAGGGTGCTGCCGGAACCCTCGCCGGCACGTTCGACTGCCTGCTACACTCACACATGTATACAGCCCAGACGCTCCGTATTATTGACAGGTTCTATACCGTCCATTTTGCCGCCGTAGAGTACGCGGAAAAACGACAAAAGGACACGTCGAAACAAAGTCAATGACACGTGGCATCGCGCGCCAACCAGTCACGGATTACGGTTGTGGTCACTCATCGGACTTCGAAATCTCACTATCTTGAGGGATCCGCGCGACCTCCTGAGCTGTGTGGACTGAAGCGCAATTGCCACTGAAGGAGTTGACTTCGGCGACCTATTAAGGCTCAATCTTGGCGCGGTGGGCCAGTGCACGCCCACCGATCATGATCACTCGCCGCAGGTCTATACGTGGCGAGTGATTAGATAGGTGAGAGAGCGTAGTGTTGAAGAGGGCACAGCGATGAGAGTCGCATCAATGCTCAAATCAACGGGCAAGGAAGGGGTACCCATTTCTCGGGTTTGTCTGTAGTATTCTCCTTGGGATGTTTCCTTCTTTTAAAATGTAAGGCTCAATCACTATCGCTAGTTGAATTTGAAATGGTTGTGCCTTTCATGGCGGAAATCGTCCTTTTGAACATCTCACTTAGAATAGTATGTACGGCCGCCGTAATTGTTGTTGTTGTGACAGGAGGAGATTGGAGAGAAGAAAAGACGGGAGGAAGGATGAAATGAAACCAACCGCAAAACTTTGAACTCCAAAATGAAGTGGAGATCCAATGTAATGAAGCGTTCATAGTTGGCGATCTACATGCGATCAAGCGATTAGGCGACTGGGCGTTGATTCAAAAACAAAAGTATACGAATCGCCTAGATGATTAGGCGAATGGGCGAATAGGCAATTAGGCGAGCAGTCGAGTAGGGAAGTGGGCGACAAAGGAAGGTACGCATTGATATTGCTGCTCCACCATTGAGTGATCGCCGGTCGCACTAATCACACTGACTCGATACCCTGCTCTATTCGCTCTACCACGGCTGTATGGACGAGTCCAATGACCTCAGTAACGCATTTAGATCTTCGCCTCAGAGCAGGTGAATCTTGTCTTCAACACGTTTCCACGACAAGCGACTTGTCCAGCTTGCAACGGTCAGAGCTCGTGCAGAACATTATGATGCGTGAAAGTACTCAACAGCCGGCAAAAGAACTTGCCATTTTTGAAACCACCTTGGCAGCCCCCGTCTCTCTGGATACGACCTCATTTCGTTCGGCCCTAAAAATACGACCCTCGGTTTGTTTCGCGCTTGTCCCTGTCTGCGCGGGCACACCAAAATCGTTCCGCCGCACACCGCGGCCCAGCCCGAAACGGAGCCAGATTGTTTGGAAAAGCTGCGAACAAGTTTGCAAATCCATACAAGTGCTAGCTGCATCGGGCTTGCAAGTGTTGTGCTCATCCTAAGATGTTGCTATGTTTAGCCTGCAGAGCACACACCGAAACCAGGTGAAGTCAAGAAAGGCGGATCAGTATCACGGAAGAACAAGGAACCTCCTGCACACATATGCGGTGTTCTCGATAAATTCATTGACTCAGTGACGGAGCTCGGTGGGTTTGATATGTTTTAACCACTTCCTTCGCATTTGTACCATTCTTTCCGAAATTGCTTCGCTCAGGAACTTGAAGATAGTGAGCGTGAAGTGCAGTACACTAGCACCATAGTACAAATTTCATGAGAATCGACGAGTACATTTCAAGAATTCATGATTCCATCGTCACATCTGAAAAATTTTCAATACTGAGTAGGGTTGTTAGTTAGTGACCGTCCGGAGGCTAATTTGTTCATAAGGATTGTGGTTGGCAGGAGCCAGAAAGCAGGTCCCATTTTAGTCAGGGGCATGTGGTTGAGCAGCTTCACAGGTACAAAACACCACGCAAATTTCCGTAGTACAGACCTGTTCAGATAAACTAAGCCCTCAAAGGGAGCAGGAGAGACCCCGGGTTCGTGAAAATTACTTACCGCTTCCTCGGGTAGGATTTCCTCCCCTTTTTAATAGTCTTTGTCCTTTGCAGTATCCCTACTATATATAAAACGCTAGTCTGTCTGTTTTTGTGTGTGTGCGTGTGTCACGAAATTCATAGCACGCGTCACAGCAGTCGTTAAGAAGCTGATTTTTGGCACGATATAGGGGGTGGGACGGAACATATTTGGTGGGGGTCTAAAAAAGTTGATAACGACTGATGAGGACTGATAGTAACGATATGCGTACGAGCGTAGAGATCACTTGAAACCAGATTGTAGATAATGCATTTTATCTCTATGTCATTTCATTAGCGTTGTAGTTGTAAACTCAAACACCTTTCGACCGCTACACTTTCCAGATTTCTTGAGGATGAATGGGATACTCGAATAAATACGATAATGAATACTGGGCATTGCCGTTTTGAGATTACCAAAAATCATTCGACCGCTAAATTACCTCGATACTCGATGCATGGTGGTTGTTTACATACATCACTTTAGCTGTGCACTTCACTGCGCTTATCAAACAGTGAGATACAGCCAAGATGGGCAACGGACAGTAATGCATTTAACGAAGCAGCTATAGTTAAGCGGTGAAACCCAAAGCTTCACCGATTGTCAGTTTTATCAGAGGCTTCCGTGTCATGCGCGCGGTAGCGGGCGGAGCTAAACTGGTTAAATAAATATTAATTGTCAATGAGGTTTATTGTTACCATAGCCCACAAGACCCATAACGCTATACATGAACAGAAGACTACTTGTAGGTAAGAAAAGGCTGTAGCACTTTGTCTTTCAATAATGACTCGCAAATAATCGCCATCGCTCTCTTCTTGCCTTTCAACTAGACGAGTCCATACCGGATTCGGAAGTTACCGGGGATATTTAAAGGACGAATTCACGCTGGGAAGGCAACCCATTTCAAATTAACTCAGGGATGGTGATTGGTACACGAAAGAAGGAAGAACCATGAGAAACGGCCCAGAACCCGAGAAATGGGACCCCTTCCTTCCCCGCTGATTTGCGCATTGATGCGACTCTTATCGCTGTGCCCTCCTCACATTCATCGCCTCTCCTCTGTATACTAATCATTCCAGGATTAGATATGTGCGAGCTGATTGCTGCTCGTAGGGCCGCGATCGGCAGACCTCGACCACACTTTAAGGCGTAATATGGTCTCGCTTCAAGGTAAAATTTTGAATGCGATCGTTGCGCATCAACTCGTCACCGTTCTCTAGGAAAGACCATTGGGTCCTCACCACAGCTAACCGCAGGAGTTTTTCCGATAGAAAATTACTTCTTACCGTCGGAAGCCTTTAATTCCATACTAGATCTGCATAAATCCTCCTCTCTCAAGACTATGATATCAGCACAAGTAGGTCAAACCACAAGGTCTGACCGATTTCACTATACGTATGAGTACCGGAGAAAGCACAATGATGACGCTGGAATGTTCACACTTGGAATTCTCCGATTCTTGTAAAAATTCGCCACTAGAAGAGCGCTTCGTAAATATATGTTTGAAGCATCCAGCCTAAAAGCAACCGTCGCCTGTCACGTCGGAGCCTAGTATGTCTACCTCCGTATAAGCGCCAGATGTTGCCTGATACTGACAAGACGCAACAGATGAATGCATTATCATAACTAATTTCATATAGAGATGTATACTCCTAATCAGTAAATCGAATGACCATCAACTAAAAGCTATCACTCTAGAGAGATGAGAGAGTTGCTGTGTTCCAAAATGTCGCTGGAAACTTGATGGCACCAACTTGATATATATCGTAATGTAAAGTTATATTGCACCAGCTCTGGACCTTGCACTTTTAACTTCTCTGTTTCTTACAAAGGTGAAGGTGCTTTTCAACTGTGCATTACTGTTCTTTAGGAGTCGCAGGAATTAAAAAACTTTACAATGGGCAGCTTGCCAACTATCGTGCTCCTGATAATCTCTACAAATTCACAGAATTTGAAAACAATAAGGATAAAAATCGCTTCTTGGTGAGCATTCTGCAAACTTTGCATGCGTAATTCGAAACATTAATTAAGTTGAAAAGAGAAAAGATAAATATGTAGGTCAGAAATCCTCAATAACCCTTGCTATGGCGCCGATTGTAGCGATGAATCCGATGTTTTGAGATTAAGCAATAGCAGTGCATCTTGCCTTTCTGGACTAGGATTTTAATTGCGTTACATGTGAAGCTATGCGATATGTCTTACAACAGTATGACTTCGTTGGAAGAGCACGAGGGGCACCCATCCACTACCATTCTTGAGGAGCCGAGTGAACGCTTCATCAGACATTTCAGTTGAATTCTCTAACAGCTATCTGACGCCTTATTATTTTGTTCATCAGGATGCCAATAAGGGCAAGATCAAGAAAGCTGAATCGCCAGGGACGGTAGTAAAGTCCCCTAAATAGCCAGTCTATAGCTGGCCAATAGGTCACGTTGATCTCGCCTTCGTCGGCACTCAAAAAGCATGGGGAAAGGGCGGAAATTCACGCTGACCTCCCGCAGAGGGCGAGGTCTATACCACATGTTAAGTGGCGAACGTATTAGGTGGCACCTAGCCTAGGCGGCGAACCCGGCAGAGAAAGGGGAAAGTGCGTGGAGATTGCAGAGACGCAGAGGGTCATGTAGAGGGCGACTAAAATGTACCCCTGAGTACTCTTTCTCTGCACGTCATGCATTGGTCGCATTGAGCGTCTCTCCGTCCCTGCCATGCGCAGAGCGCAGGGAAGAAAGGGGTTACGTGGAAGGTGTTGAGTGTGGGCAGCAAGAAAGCCACTGGAGCTATCGATAATATTGATAACTTTCTGCCAATAAGGTGATCAGCTGTCCCCCGCAGTGTTCCACTTATTGATCGTGTTATAGCTCCTTCCTTGGTCCCGGGAGCATTTCACTACTATGGCACTTTACTACCGTCTCTGGGACGCTTTTTAAGGGTGAGACGTGAACATATCAGAGAAGACGAACTGCAAATGCACTTTAATTTTTGAGTTTCTTTCTGTCTTTGCTTACAAGCATCACGTCCAACGTAGCCGTGCGAGGCTGCCTTTCGCTGGCAAAATCTGTTATTCTGTTCGCTTTCCTTACAGTTTGGCCGTCAGCCTGCCTTTCCACTGTATGGTTATTTTTTCCCTTTCTTCGATCCGAATTAACATTAACTTGGAATCCTTTATCACGTAGAAGACAAATTTTTTTCGACTGGCGACAATAATCCAAGATCAACCACATGAGATGAATTGCAGAAGAGTAGACCAAAGAGAGTGAATGTTTTGGTTGTTTATTGCATTCTGCATACATCAACTACCCTAGTGCAGGCGGTACGCTTGCGATGGTTGTTTCGGAAGGCCACTGTCAAAAGCACCGATCCACATGCTATGGTAGTAGACAACGTTGTTCCATTATCAAGATGATTTTTGCTCGGCCGCTTCCCCCGGCCGGGCCCCCTCCCCTTCCCTCCTCTACCTCTCTCCCCCCATATGGCTCGCTGTTGAACGTGGTAGAACGTAGGGATGGCTCTTCTACGTGCTCCAATGCCGCGCTATTTGGTTTCAACCATGCCTCAAATTTTGGCGCGCGCGAAATTATACAATACTTTTGGCTCATACTCCTTCAAACCTGATAATGGAGTGAAAAGATACGTCATCCTAGTCAAGAACATATGACGTGTCGCTGAGGCAAAAGCTCACCTTGGAAAGCCGCTATCATACGCGATTGCAGCCGGCCAGCGGAGCAAGCCAGTTTGGACAGCTCGTCCGGCCACGCCCCTCCTTACTTCAAAAGGGAAGGGCTGAGGGAAGTCAGCTTCATCGGCGGTCCTCTTCGTTTCTTCTTCATTTTCAGTCAACTCGGCATTCGCCATTTCATTATCGACCGCTCCTCACCAAATCGATTTGGGGGTAGTGCTTTGGCTTTCCCTTTCCTTCATCCACCACGTACTATACGTGTTCTTGACACGCATGCGTTCATACTCGATTGTGACAAATCGCGTTTTCGGGCACCATTTTTTGATTAAGTCTCACAAGCTGTCCTCGGGCATCAAGACTTCGAGACAGGGCTGGAATGTGCTATTGTTAGAATCACTTAATCGTCTACTCCGCTTTGAACTACTCAAAACACTCAATGAAAAATCAGGAAAACATCGCAATTTCAGGACGTTGTCTGCTTGGACCATTCTCGTGTTGTTTTACATTTTGAAGTGCCGCCATGTTCAAATTATATTCATGCTAGTTGGATACGATTTGAAAAGCATGATCGAGTATTTATCGCTACTCAGGTATTTCTATTCACTCACAGCAGTGAGCTGGGTGAGGGCTTCTGCTACTCACTTGAACCATATCTGCTCTCTGCTGACAATTTTTATTTCAGGCCCCAATGGAGAACACAATTGAGGACTTTTGGAGAATGATATTCCAAGAATCATGCAATGCAATTATTAACCTTACAAATGTACGGTTTTATTGCGATATTACCAATTTCAAGGATTGGAACGAACAGCCAAACAATACACCGGGAGATGGTTTACGCTCGAAATGTATTAGGTCGTGAAGAATAGAATCCACAAACCTCTGCCAATAATAGCTGCGTTGAATCAGCCCGGTAGTGCAGAATACTGGAGCTCTAGAGACGATGAACCCGGCGGAGGTCGTTTCCGCATCATGTTTTTGAAGCATAACTCTTTGGAGAAGCTATCCAGGTAGTCGAGAAAGTGACAAATTATAGGCAAAAGGTCTACCGAGTAGGATGTTCGCAGGACTAATTCGTAGCCAATCTTGTCCAACTTCTGCAGGGTTGGTTGTGGAATGTGCGTCCGAGCTACCTGTCAGGGACGAGCCGGTTCCTTTATAATGAGGAATTTCGAGCATATGTGCCAGAGTTCTAGGAGTAGTTTGACACATTATCAGGAGTACTTTTTCCACATTAACAGATCCACCTGGTTACGAAAAGCTAGACCAGCCGCTGACCTTATGAAAGTCACCTCAACCTTCCTTCAGTGAAGTTTCACTTTTGCAAAGTTTGTAGAGCCTGGTCGATCACTTCACCAAAGGTTCGTATTCTGTAGCAAAGAATCCGTTCTTTGTCGTGCGTCGCAAATGATCAAAAAGTCAGGTCGTTTTCATGGCATGAAACAAGCTAGAACGCGGCGAACGACCCTTCAAAATGGTGAGCTGTCGCGGCACGCCCTATTTGAATTTTTGGGACTTTCCAGCTCTTCCCGTACAAGTGCGATCAGTTTAGGAGGAACCCTCTCAATAGATTTGTGCAAACGTGCTTCAACCAGAACGTTCGACTAATCGTTGGCGTTGTCCAATCTCCGATCACCACCCTCACAATCTTTAGGGCTCTCGCTATTCTTACAAAAGCTTTTTGAACAATTGCTTCAGACCATATTTATTGCGAATCTCTATAATATCTTGACCTGCTCCCTCTCCATACTGGCCTGCTTTGAGCTAGAAAAAGGAAATCATGCAAATTTGCTCTTGGAGTATGCCGTATTCAAGGCTTCAAAAAATGACAACTAAATAATAAGGAACATAGCTAGCCTAGCTGTTAGATAGAACAAGAAAAGCTCTTCAAAACCACATACAGCTCATTGGCAGCTTGCTTGAATTCGTAACAAAATAAAGCGTTCAAAAACGAAACACCAAAAAGCGCAAGAACTTTCTTCACGACCTAATCGAAGCCAACCTGCTCACCTCGAAGGCAAGGCAGTTCGGGAAAGAACTGGCGCATTATTGCATATACATGCTTGCAAGTCGCAAGATGTGCAGGCAGCGCCAGCAACGGGAAATCGGGAAGAAACCGTTGGTAAGATCGAAAATATAATAGAACCCTCTTTCTAGTGGCAACAAAGCGAAATAGCACATTTCTGGCAGGTTCAATGGTGTTGGGCGGGGCCAATGCTGCATGCTAAGGTCTATCAATTATCCCTTACCAAATCTTCCGGAAGTTGTGTGCATGCCCGCTTGCGAACCACTATCCCTTTCTCGGAAGGCCTAATCGATGGATACCCAGGACGCGTCAAGGTAAAGGTCGGGCTCGATTTAGAGTCTAAATGGCGCTCCGAAGTTGGGTGGGAGATGGCAAGCGAAACTAAGAACCGTAACTTGAAAGAAAAACGCGAAAGGAAATTGTCCTTGGAGGCTGAAATAAAGCCAAACAGCAACATATGCAGAGGCGGAGATCAGGAGGCGACTTCCGCGCCCTCTGCCACCGGACGGCGCCATCTGCCAACGCGTAGCGTCATAGCTAAAGCCAGGCGGCGATAGCCACATACTCCCTCGAGGCCTTATTACCGGGGGGGGGGCGGGGGGGGGGGGGGGGGGGGGGGGTGGGGGGGGGGGGGCGTACGTATTGTGTCAACGTATCCAGGCCCAGAGGTAACGGAATGGACTGGTGGTCAACATCAAATCCTGAATTTGCCTTAAAGAATTCAAGAACTTAATATCCATAGTTGTCATCGCAAGATGACTTCAAACCTTTTTGTCGGAGCTTCATCGGTCAATCCTTCATTGCCATTTTTAGGATGCAGAAGATCACGAAAGAATAGTGCCCTATTTTCCCGATAAACCTGGCGCATTCACTAACTATATGTCGAATTTGTTAACACTAAAAAGGTCCAATTTTTTAAATGATTTGCTCACGTGAAGGGTTCCCTTTGAAGATTTGTTCTCTTGCAGATGGATGAAGAAGCTCGCTTCACCGTATACACTCTTGAAGTACTGCCAGATGGTTGCTCAAACAGCCTACTATTGAAACTGATTAAAGCGAAGAGCGATACTGGCAAATCACCGTCTACAACTATGATTCTACGAATGTTGCGAATCGTTGGAACGGTTCGTCCGAAATCTAGAATCCTTCAAAAATTTGTGCTACTCCCCTGTTTCCTGTCAAATTTCGAACACAGTCCGTTGTTTGTTGAAAATCGAACAACGATTGGGTGGCCATAATGTAGGCAGGGAGGGCAATAAAAGTCACTCCCCTTCCTCATTTAAATAGGGTTGATTACATCTTGCGATTTTAAAAAATGATAGTCCCAGCTGGAAACTTATTAGCATAATCACTCTATCAAAGCACTTCATAACAGCCAACTACGCCGGTGACATCAGAACATTTTCCCACGGATATTGTATCGAGCACCATTATGGCGTTATCTGAAACGCCTGTTAGAAGTGGTCTTGTCAGGGCTGCTGTTGTCTGAGAGCTAACCCATCAGTTGCCCGATTTACCCCGACCAGAATTTATTGTAAGCAGCTTCAGGCCGGAGCCACTACGGTAGGCCTCCTTGAGCTAGACAGCGATGGCATATGACGTCATGTGCTGAAGACGAGTGAGGGCAGTGAAGGAGGACCTGCTGTTGCTTGTGGGGTCATATGTAGGGAATATGTTGACGCAAGACTTCCATAGACAGCAGCACCCAGTCCGACGATGTTTGGTGACACGCGTCATAGACTCGGACTTGACTGAAGACTGTCCCTCTCCCTTCCCCGTTCCCCTCCCTGTAAAAGATGGCGTTGCAGAGAAAGCGGGATTCTGTGATGGATCGTTATCATTACCGGTCTTTTAAAACGCACAATTTAGTCAGAGCGTGTTGCCACCGGCCCAGTTGTCGTTCACTGTGTGTCTGGTGTTGGTCGAGCTGGTACCGTGATACTCATCGACGTCATTCTTCAACGATTATTCACTAATCAATTACCAGTAGACGTAAGTGTGGAATTTTTATGGCTCCACTCAAGCAGATCCTTAGCTGCGAAATTCCATAAATTTTATTATCCGATAAAAATCACGACCAGTACTGCAGTTTTCTGATTTAACATATGCTGTAAGTTTGCGTCAGGTGTCTCCCTCGCCAATGTAAAGACAACGTAAAACGGGTGCATATCAGCAGAAGTGTTCGGATCTCCGCGCTAGTGGACGTGACGCGACGTCGCAACCGGACGAAGCTTCTTGTGCGCACCAACTCCCTCGTCCCTCAGCATTCAACGCGATAACCCTTTTGTACTCCGCTATTTTTTACATTGCACAATGAGCTTCAATCTTCGGGCAAAACAGGGAGTATGCACTGTCGCTTCTGCGTGGAGCACTTCACAATCCAGTGAACTGTGAAATGCAAGTATTCGTCTGCTCCCATCGTCAAATTAAAAAATCGCCGCGCCTGTTGAGGAATTGTCTCTCGCGACGTCGCACGAGGGGCCGAACGCGGCAATGCGACAGCCGCACGATTCTGTTAACCGCTCCCCTTTTGACTGGGTCGAATCGCCAAACTATTGGCTCTCACTCACACAGGCGTCCATCTCACTATCCTCGCCCTCAACGAATACCCCTTTTTATCCTGCAATGTCCACGGGTTTGCTCTAAAGCGCTAAGAATCGCCTTGTATTACTATGGTTACCATGAACAGGCATCAAGTGCTTGTGAATGTGAAAGCTGCCTCTTCCTTATTCTGAAAACTGTAGAAATGTCTCAGGCTTCCTTGTTCAGCTCTCATGGTCTCTGAAATTTCGTGTATTTCTCATATTGTCATGATTATACGTATCGTGAGGAGTACGAAGTTATTTTACGGACTACTTGCACTTTCGTCTATGGTCCTGCCACGAATGGCGGAGAGCACAGACGATCAGAAAACGGCGCCTGGCTCGGCTCCAAATCCCAAGGAGGGAGGTGAGAGCCTTAGGCACTAAGCCTTGTAAGGGGAGGGAAGTCCGAGGTGGGTGAGCCAATCACAGTGTGGCAAAAACTTGAATATGTGAGATCGCTGTGGTCATGAGCCCTTACATAAGGCTATAAAACACAGACGAGAGCGTCTAGTGAGGCAGCTTAAAGGACCGAGTTCAAGCAGTCCCATTGGCCGTACAAAGACATACGGACGATGACGCGGTAGCTTGAATATTCGTTTCTTTTCCAGCTCGTGGAAATGTTTCGCCACCTTCGAAATCAAAGGCGTCTTGTTGCAACGGTGAAGCGCAGTTTCTATTTGTTGTTGCTAGTGTCGTTGACTATATTGGAGTACGTTTTCTTACAGCAAACGGATTTCATTTTGACTTTTTTCCATTTTTTTGAACTTCTTAATTTCATTTGGATGAGCCACGCATCTGAGTAAATCGCATGACCCATTGTCTCTGCACTGTACGCACATAGAGTGATGAATCGCTTAGAATATGCGTTTGAAAGGATTTACTCAAATCTAAAACGATAATTCAGCCATAATGACAAAGGTCGAAGAAGGAGAACTTACCTAATGGAGAGACACGCGGACCCTTGAAGTTGCGGACCGACCGAATTCGCATCAAAGCATATGCTCCTGGCGATCTAGCTCGGCCTTTCCCGCGGCCCAGTTGGCGTGCCATTGGCCCGGTACACCGCTCCCCCTCTCGCATGTCATGTCTGAGTCTCAAGCAGTTCACCAGAGAGACCGTTAGCGTCAAAAAGGGCAACACCGATGAGAGTCGCTTCAATGCGCAAAATCAACAAGCTAAGGAAGATCCCTATTTCTAGCCATTTTTCTCGGTTTTTCTTCCTTCATGCATCACTAACCAGCTCTGACCTAGTTCCCATAGGCTGCTTTTTCTAGTGAAATCCGCCTTTCCAAACCCTTTGACTGGCTCACCTTATGAATAACGTCTATACGACGGATTAATGGATTCATCCATTTTACAGCAACAGCGTGGCGAAACTAAAGTGGGTACCTGTCCATGTTCTTACCGTCTCTGGGGGGGAGCTCAGGTGGGGTCTTACTATACCAGAGTCTAGCTTTAAGTAATCAATGCTTTCCGCTAGCTTGCACTATTTTGGTAGAGAAAATGAGTCGTGTCGCAATGCCGTGCATGAGTCCAATCGAACGTAATCACAGTATAGGCGGTTTAAAGGACGAATTCACGATGAAAAGCAACCCATTTCAAATTAACCTAGGGATGGTGAGTGGTACACGAAAGAAGGAAGAACCATGAGAAACGGCCCAGAACCCGAGAAATGGACCCCTTCCTTGCCCGTTGATTCGAGCATTGATGCGACTCTGTCGCCCTCTTCAACACTACGCTCTCTCAGCTATCTAATCACTCGCCACGTATTGAACTACGGCGAGTGATCAGATGATCGGTGGGCGGAGATCGCCGGACCCGCCAGCTTTGAGGCATGATAGGTCGCCGAGGTCAAATTTTTCCATGCGAATTGCGCGTCAGTTCGCACCCTCAGGAGGTCCGTGGGTCCCTCAACTAGGTCAGTTTCCCTTTCTTCGACCTTCATTCTAATCGTGAATTCCTCCTTTAAGGTGGACATTATTTCAGACTCGATACCCTGGTCGATACCGTGAAAAACGGGATAAATTCAAAGAAGATTATAGAAATTCAATAGGTTCAGCAGTTGAAAAGAAAGAGGTTGAAGAGAAAAAAGCAGCTACGGTCACTTAAAGATAGACACGAGTGTTCAGAATGCAAAGCTTTTCATACGTGTCACATGCGATTATTAATAAACCTATTTTGCAAACTTGAATTAAATTGTTTTTATTTTTTCAAAGACGTGCGTCAAACAACGTCTAAATACTAACTGGTCTGCCACTCTTCTCCCCGATAGTGAATGCGCCGACACTCCCGAGAAGCAACTTTTTTCTGTCATATGCAAGGCTCTCACCCTTAAACATCGATTCCCTTCTGGAGGCTTTCATTTTACAGGTTGTAATAAAGGACATCAGAACGCGATGGAATTATCCGAGGCCAAGGTACGCTGTAGGGCTGCTAAAAAACGCAAACTAACGGCACGAATTGCTATTTATCTGACAGAGGAGTCACGCCAAGTACTAGGCTTGACCGACAACGTGCCGGACGCGTGAGAACCGACTTTGTGAAGGACCTACAGCATTGGGGGAAGCCATTCCGTCCATGTCACACTTAGGCGCTTCTCTCGTTCGTGAACATTGCCGTTCCTAAGGAAGTATTACAGCAAACGTTCTTCAAATGTCCCTACTTCACGGCCATCACCTTCTTCAGTATATGGCGTCATCTGCCGTCGCCGTCTAGCACAAGGTGGCCTACCCCAATTGCCCTACCCCAATTGCCCTGCCTGATGCCTCTTGCATAATTTCTCCGAACGATTTATTGTTGAAAAGTTTCCTGGAGTTATTAGCTTTGACCATGCAAACCCCTCGAAATTCGCTTAGCATATATAACAACGTAATGGTATCCAACCCGTCGCGACCGCAGTGAGCTCGACCAGTGCACCATGTTTCTTCTGATGCCGTCCACGCAGAAGACCAGTTGAGCATTTTATATAAAACAGAATGTGCTCTTCAATTCTAACAATAAGTTGGTAAAATTCGGCTTTAACTAAACAAAGTGTGACAACATCCATTTAGATTTTGGAGGCAAAACTATTATTTTTATTGGCTCCCCCCCCCCCAGGGTCAACCCTACGTTGTTACTAGTAACAACGGGGGGTCGTACCTGGTTGAGTTTGTAGGAGGGGGGGGGGGGGGTCGTATAGGTTGGGAGTTGGGAGCGCGCGGGAGAAAAATTCGCCGTTTCAGCGCGTGTATATACCCCCTAGAAGATGAAGCAATGGGAAGATAGGTAAAAGTGGGTAAAAGAAGAGTGAAATGGTGGAAATTTAGGTAAATTTTTACTGTTTCAGAGTAGCTATATACCCCCCGCTCGACGGCATTTTTGGAGGAAAAAGTGGGCGGAGTTTGGTGGGTTGAGTGGTACCAGAATTAAATACTATAGAGAGGAATGATGGTGGTCGAGGTGTCGAAAAGGGGGTCGTATCAAATCCACCTTGGGGGAGGGGGGTCGTAAAAATTTTTCAAAAGTAACAACGATAGGACCGACCCTGCTCCCCCCTCTGCATGCCCTATGTCACAGCCTGTGCCCTCGATGTTGATAAATAATGGTCCCCTCAGTCTCAAAATACTGCGAGTATAGCGTCGTGTCACTGCACCATCTTAGCCTTCGCTTAGGGCTTGCTGCGCTTCCAGTGATCAGAGTGAGATTTTGACCTGACATCTTCGCTTAACATTTCGTCTATTTTATCTGCAGGACCACCGCCACTCTATCTATGGACAAAATTATTAACTTTCGACCCCTTGTTTGCAGAAGGTTTCGAGTTATTCAAATTATTCGGCTTTGATTGCCACGAAAGCGCCAACATCCTTAAAAAAGCTATGACGTTTTTAATGAATTTGAATAATTCTCCTCTCTGATTTATAAAACAGTGTTGAACAACGCCGTTGGTACCTGCCAGAGGGAAGAATAAATGAAAACCCAATTTATTCTTCGTTCTATGTTCGGAAAATGTTGAGAATCTTTACTTGGGGTGTTAATAGAAATGACCAGCTCCCCA